ACAATGGTAAGAAAACATGTATTGCTGAAATCAAATCTGGTTAATTAGGAATGACATTTATTGCTTTTTGACTAATATTATTTGGATAGCAAAACTGTACTTGGATAGCAAAAACCACCTTCAGGTTTCAATATAGTTCAAAATAATGGGCAACATTAGAACGTTTTGATCTACAAAGGAATTCATATGCTTTAGTGACCTGTTCTAAAATGGAAAGGCAAACAACCAGACAGTTATTCTAGCACAATCTACAAATAATTTAATGCTGTATTATAGCTCTTAAACTTCCCTCAAACTCATTCCAAAACACTGATAACATCTAAGTGTTTCAGTTAACTGGCGTGTGAGATAGGCTCTGTCATTAAATGTCATTCAACCAACGTATATGCAACTGTACATGCTTAACTAATCTGTGGATTACACACTCAGAGACAAAAAAAAAATCCAGTGATTTATTTCTATGAAATATTCAGCTCTTCCAAGAAAATAGAAATGTGAAAAGATGCAAACTAGAACATACAATACAAAGTGAAAACTGTGAGTTATCCAGACTTAGTCATACTTGGAGTTGATCCATTGAAATCCATGGGGCTTAAATTAATCATGACAAATGTAGTTCTTATGGATTTCTGTAACAGCACTTTAAATATGCCTAAGAGCACCATCCTCTGGTCTTCTGGAATTATCTGGGGATCCATAAGATTTTTTGAAATCCCAGCTCTATCTTTCTGTGACCGTACAATGAGACCTTGCCCCACACATAGCTGTGCAGAAAGAACTGAGCCAGCTGCCCTGTCGAGAACAGAAATCAGAAAGGGAAAGAACAAGTGTGTGCCGGGAGGCAGGGAGGGAATGAGCTTATATCATATCTAAATGGCACCACAGTCTCCTTCCCTCCACCTCAATAATGTTTCATCTACATATCCAAAGATGGCTACTTTAAAATGGAAGGGCAGGGCAATGAGATGCAGGGTAGTGGAAACTGCTGTCACTGTGCCTTTCACCCTCTAGGATATGCATTCAAGCCTCCTAGTTCAGAAACTTACATGCAATGAGATAAAGGCTTTGGACGTAGCCCTAAGTTTGAATCCAACCCTCTGTGTTTTAGAAAAGTCAGGTTAGAGTCAATAATGAATTGGTTGGAATGCATGGTGCTGTGCCCAAAATTTCTTCATTTCAGTATGACAGGGGAATACTTTGCTACAAACATCCCATAAAAATATAACATCGTTTTTGAGAAAGTTGTTGGAGTAACATCCATTCTTCATATTTAAAACTAGTCCGATGGTCAATGATATGTTTAACATTTTTATTCCTTACTAAAATATATATGTAAGAATATATATAAGAATATTACATTTACACCTACAGGATTATGACTTCTTTATTAGCTCTTTTATTACTTACTAGTGCTTCAAACTTGACTTAGTCAGCAATATTATCCTCACTGGCTTCAGCAACTTTGTTGACATCTGCACATCTGGACTTCCAAAATTAGCAATTTGGCTGTTCCTCTAATTTTATGCTGGTCTTTTTTTTTTAACATAAACTTTGACTTTTCTGCTTTTGGCAGTCAATCACACTGCAACTGATGCTATGTTTGAGGACATTCAGTCATGCTATTGTCTAAATTGCAAATAATATTCTTTGAGCCATACTGGTCCATCAAAAACCAGCATGATATTTGATACCCTACTTCAAATGTCTCCTGTTAAATTGATCGATATATTGGATTCATCTTATTGAAAAGTATAAGACCTTTATACAGTATTACTGCTTTAGCTGTTGATAGCTCATCTTTCTATCTTTCTAAATACTGTAGATAATAGAGCTTGTCTGGACAGAAAGGGCTAATGACATGAATGGCAGCTGTACAACAGCCTGGTTTTCTTGCACTTTGTTTATGCATACCATAAGCCTGGATTGATCAAAATGTTGCACTTGAGTCAGTGTGGTAAACCAATTGAGTACTGAAACCTATCATGTGCTTGATAAAGTCAGTCTTTCCACCTGGGTTATTAAAGTCTGGGGACATTAAAACATTTAATCAAACATCTGAGGAGCCACAATATATAACTGGCATGCTGTGTACAGGCCAGGGGCTCCATATTGTGCAGGCTCCATATGTTGTAAGATGTTCCTGATGAATTGTCTCCTGAATTCCCAGAAACTTCCTATCAAACATCATATCGTACATTGCTAAGATTCAGATAGTTCAGTGAGAATGAATGTCACTTGGCATGTGTAGCATGATATAAAAGGAAATGTGGGATCTGTGAGATCAACTGAGCCCATGTTGGCCTGCTTGACAACTGACTTCAAAGTCTCACACTTCCTTAGGAAGCATCAAATTACCCTGTTTTATGGATATTCTGTGTCTGTCACACATTGGCCTAGTTCATAGGGCCACTGCAGATGGGTTGTGGTGTACACAGAAATCCATTCTGAAAATTAAGCCCGAGTTGAGGGTGGGGGGAGGTTGCAATGGTTAGTCAGATTGTCTGGAACCAGCAACATATGTTGTTTGAAGGTTAACCTTTGGGTAATTGTTATGATGTTAAGACCGTTGTTTTATTGTGGTTGTTTTAATGACTGTAAGCCATCCTGAGATGCCATGCATAAGGGAGGGCATACAAAAGCTTTAAATAAATAAATAATAAATAACCCTCAAATAACCCACGGTTAGTTTTAGAGTTGTTTGAGCATTGCTTAATATTTAAACAGCCCATTCCATTTGGATGTAAAGGATATTACTAATCATGGTAATGCCCTGGGGAGGGGGGTTGAATATTCAAAAGGTCTGTATGCACCCATCACAACCTAGGCCACAAAAATGAGCACAAGGACCTGTTACGCCTTTTCCTTGATAAGGGCTTTCCAAAAATGATTTCATTTTGTGTCACTGACACCCTGATGGCCCCATCCCCACTTTTCCCTGTTAATTTGCCTTGTCACTCAGCAAAGATTCAGTTGCCAGGCTGAGGCACAGTTTATGCTTTTTCACAAGCCTCAATTGAATCGTCCACATCACCCAATGCAGGGAGTAGCCTTCTATTCAGTTTGGTCAAGCTTTTAATTAATGAAATATGGGTCTTTAGTACATGGGATATTCAGCTTTCAGATTCAGATTTAATTGGAACTTCCTGCTGAAAACTGTAGCAATGAGATAATTTTCTGGTTGGTGCTTTATTGCTTCTTTTGGAGATTATGTGATTGGACATAACAGACGCTTCTAGGCATCAACCTTTCCAACTCTTAAAATCCTGTAGCTATGCATGTGTAGGTTACGTCATTTCATACTTTCTTAGGAGAAAGAAATTTGGCTTTTTAACCAGTTTTAAAAATACCTTTTGCACTTGAATGATTAGTGATCCAGTTTTATAATTTCTTTAAACCTGATATGCCAAGGAGTGATGTTTAGCCCAGCTCAAATACTATTCTCCTTTAGATTCACAACCCATTGAGGGGTGAAGGATATTTTGTGGTTGCTTTTGATTTTTACGTGAGAACTGTCTGAGGGTGCACGTCATAGAAGGTTGGGCAAAACATTTGTTTGAGCCAGGCATTTCCTACAATGGTTCAGTTCTTCCTGAACACAACAAACATGTTTCTCAATTGCATAAATCAATCTCCAGGTAGAAGCATTCTCACAGAAAAGCATCTTATGCATAAAAAGCTAGATCTCAAGGTGAAGGCTAGATGGAGACTTTCCTCACTGAGACAGCAATTTCTACATGTTAGGACTCTGGGAGGTGGGGTTTGGGGGAACATTCAGTCATGTAGTCTGAACTCATACAGTCCAGACACAGATTTACCAATCTGCAGATTTACCAATCTGCCAATTAACTCACCCTCTTCCCTTCCCTGAATCCACCTATCCCTTCTTCAAAAGCTTGGGCAGTGAAAGAAAGAGTTGTGGCTTTTGATGAATCATTGTTTTTTACTTGTACTTCTGATACTGATCTGAGTTTTCAGAAAACAATAATGTTTAAAATTCTAAAGAAGTCACTCAAGAAGAAATCAAACAGCAGCATTATTTTAAAATAACTTCAATCACAAAAAGCCCATCACATGCAACAATAAAGAACTAGAAAATTGGGCATTGTATCAGAGTTATCCAAAAAAGAACTGTGATAGACCACAAAAGAGGGATTTAGAACTGTGTTTCATGTTTTTGCTGAAGAGCCTGGGGAATTGATTAGTTCCCCATGAAAGTTCAGTGGTCCTTGAAAGAGGGAGAGAGGCACAGGCACATGTGCATCTCTTTAATACACAACAGGTCCATTTGTTTCATGAAAGTGTCTAAATTTCTCCTTTTGCTGGGAACTGTATAAGAAGTACAAAAAATGAATTAAACATAAAATCTGCGTCCAATTCATATCCCATCTTGATGACCCCTCATCAATGCATATATAACTATGACATCTGCATTCAAATCAGGATCCAGAAGAAGAAAGAGAGCATGGAGAGCAACATAGAAATGATCCACTAGCACAAGAATGTTGCTGTTATAATTCAAAGCATTCTCCTACATGAAACACAATCCATAGCCTATGTTAATCTGTGATTTTACACCCAAAGGTTAAAATATTGTGCAATACTATGCAAATCTGCATCAGTGATTTGGACTTGGTGTCACAAACTTCCCAGGCTACTTAAAAGGGTAGTTATGAATAGAATAGAGAAACATAAATGCAGATATCATCAATAGCCTAACTAAGAGTCTAAAACTGCAACATGATTAACTAGAAAAAAGAGTCAAAGTTAGCAAGAAGCTGGATGGATACCATTCAATATATACAGCAAGACTCGAGTAGAAAACTGCCATCATGATCAGCCAATAATGCCTCACATGGATCTGACTGAACACTAACAGGAACACACTTGGAACAAGCTAAAATATTGCTAAAATGACAAGGCTGAGATAGAAATACTTCCTTCTCCAATATTTTCATCACAAGAAATGTATTTCTTTGAAATTCTAAGTAGTAGAGAACTTCACAAAGAAAAAGCTGAACTGGAACAATGCTTGATTTTACATAAAAGAAAGTTCGGTGCAGGAGAAATTGTAAACATGTGACAACCTGCAGAGACCCCAAGAATAGAAGGTAATGCATAACGACACTGGGCACGCTTCAACCAAGGTAAAGTATATTTAACTCCTATGTATTTCTGTCAGAATGTTATGCATGTACATGTTATGCATGTATCCCTCTCCAATAAAATCTATGGGACCTACAAGTAATTAAATCTTTGTTAACAAAAATCTGTCAACCCTGAAGTAGCTCAGGTGTTACTTCTTTCTGCATCCAAGTCTTGACATTTTCTGTGGCCTTTTAGTTTTGGGAAAGTTTGCATCTCTAATCATTCAGTGGGGATATTCTTTGAACTTAATAATAGCAATATTATTGGGGATAAATGGGAGCAAAATTATGTGACAAACAATTAAAGTCTATTGAAAAGATAAATAAAACTTCCAACCATATCTTTCCATAGAACTGATAAATTACCTTTGACTAAAGAGATAAACAGAACATTGTTACATTTTATCAAAACTATGGCCAGTGCCAAAGTAACTTTCTCTGACAGAAAGGGGACACCAAACAACTATTGCTGTTATCCATTTGCTAAAAAATTATAGCTCAAATCTGCTAATTGCAACACTCGCTAGCATGGCACACCTACAACTACCACCTGCTTTTTCAGCCTACTGGATCTGGCCCATTTGACAAGACAAAGACAATGACTAAGAGATTTGGGCATGAAAAAAATGTATGCCCATTAGGAAGAACTGAGATGGTGACTAAGAATTCATGTCACATGTGCTGCCAAATAAGTGGCAATTTTTAAATTTGATAGGATAAGAGAACCAGACCCAAAGAAAAAGAGAAGCACATGCTTTAATTGTGGCCAGGCCTGAATTATTTTCAGACAGTGGTACACATTTCTGAATTAACACTATCTTCATCTTGACTTCATTAATTCATTTGTGTCTTCTTCTGGCATGTATTATCATACAGAAAAACCCTAAACTTCAGAGCCAAAGTCTGAGATGTTTGATGGGTTTTGCAAACATCGAAAACCCATGGATGTGCAAAACCTGCCATTTTGGGCCAAAAAACTAACATTTAAGGATTGACTTCTGAAAGTTTAGATGAAGATGTTGGGCAAATTTGTGCAACCAAGTTACATCAAATGCCTTGAATCTGTCCAGCAAGATGCCTGATGCATATCAGATTATGGACTTCTGCACTGAATATCTATTTGGTCTGGGCAAAAACAAGTTTTCATAAAAATAGCTTCATGTTCAGATCATAGGGCCTCAAGCCTTCTAAAATGCTGGTCCTTTGCAATAAGCCTCAGTTGTGATCGATTAAAATTAAGACAGCAAAATTATAAACAATCTGGAATAAACTAATGCATAAAGCATTTGGGAATGAGATGTGTTTTGCTGCCTCTCCATGAACCTTTTCTACACAAAAAGAAAAGAGCTTTTTCAAACCTAACTAAAAGCCATCTTTCATTTCTAAAGGCCACATGTGGTCTGGGCACCAGAAGCACACATGCATACATCCGAGCAATCCTGACAATGATTACTCTTCCTTTACTGTTAGAAGCAATGGGGACAGAATGATTTGTAATCATGAGCACTGAGGAAGAGGGTGAAGAGGCTTTTCTTGCCCCTCCTCCAGCCGTGTTGATACAGATAGCCGTTTCCAGTGAGAGAGATGTATATATAAGGATGTCTAGGGGAGGGAGCAGAGCACCTTACCCCAGTGATCCCCAAACAAGTAGCTTCTTTCTCACTGGCAATAGCAGTGGAGAAAGAACAAACTGGAATGTGGGAAGATGGGAGAAGGCTAGTCCCATAAAAGGGACATGAGGCCTTGGGAGTGCGCATGCAGCCCTTGGCCTGCAGGTGTGCATCCTTGTTTCATTTGCAAAACATCACGCAAGATGAAATGTGTAGATCAGGAGTAAGGTTAAGAGGGGGAGCCTGGGATTACTGAGTTGAGATTACTGAGGATGTTTAATGGCGAGTTCATTCACATTGTTCTTCAGCTGAGGAGCAAGACAACACAATTTTCTTTGATCAATCCAGGCCAAAATTAATGATCTTCATGTGAGATACAGAAATTAGGTGTACATATGCAAAATAAGTGTGTTTGCATGTTTTTTTCTTGGTTTACAAAAACAATTTTATCTTTCATCAGAGTTTTTATAGAGGGCTGATAACTGCACCTTAATGTAAGACAGACTACTTGTTCTATTTGGGAAATAGCCCCAAACTTGCCTAGGAGACAGTATGTCAAAGATTTGCAGCTAGTCATGGAGAACCAGGTGCCTAAATGCAACTGGAAGTATTTTGCACTCTTAATGCACTTCCTTCTTGAGTTTGACAGTGTTCACTATAGAGAGAAATAAATTGTTCCTGTTGGATTGTAAATGCACAGATTTTTAAAATCCTCCTGGGGGTTCTCTTGCGCTTTTCATGGCTTTTCTGCTTCCTGTAATCCATCCTGTGGCAAATCTAGAGAGAAACAGAAAGAAAGAACAAGGAAGATTATACCTAGCAGCCTTGCAATCTTGCAATTCTATCATTTGCCAATGTTCTATGCATGTCCAGGGCCAAGACTTTTCAGTGATTTAATTTTTGGGCACTCCTGCCATCTGTAAATTACAGTGGCACTGCAAATATATGCTTCAGTCCTTTTGTCTCCTTCTGACCTAGTGTACCTGACCTCAGAAGATATAAGTGAAGTTTATTCCAAGAGGCATGAAGGCTCTCCTTTTATAGCTGATACTTTCAGTAAACTGTCTATAACAAAACATTAAACAGGGAGACCATTTCTTTAACATTTCTTCTCATTAATTCCTCCTTTTAAGTATGTTGACAGTGCAAGAAGGAGAATCAAGTTGCCTTTGGTAGATAAGCGGGAAGCTCTAAACTGTGAAGAGTTCAATTCACATTTCATTTCCTTCTCAAGTTATCAGGAGGTTTTGGTTCTTAAGAATGTGGGTACATGAGAAAGTGGTTGAGTGTGCTGTTAAGAAGTTGAACAAACTTTGCTAAGGATCTAGAGCCAAAGAAGCAAAGCACCACAAAGACTAATAGAGACAAGCAGCTCAGTGGAAAAACTCTGCAGTGACACAAAAGACAAAGCAATGAAGTCCCAAGCAAGAACATTAATTCCCTCGCATCTGTGAGGTTCCTTTCTGCAAAGTGTCTGCCTTCTAAAAGACAATTAAAAGGACCATGTGGAGAGCTGGATTGGGTTGGCAAAGGTCAGTGCGGTATGGACTTTCTTTTGTTCTGCACTGTTAGCACATGCTGAGGTGCTGCAGAAATCACCAAACTCCTATCTAATTTAATGACTCCATTAATAGCTAGGAAGAGGAACTGGAGCATCAGGTTAATTAAAAGTACAGATTATAACAGAGCCACAAATACCAAAGCCAGAGAATGAAAAACAAACAGACCAAAAAAAAAATTGCTGTGTGCTTGAATAAGTTTGAAATCTAAAAATCAGTTATCTGAGACACACATGTTATTGAATGGAGTGGGAACAAGGGCACTATTTTTGGCCTCAGATTTTAAAAATGTGGCATTTTGTTTATTTTTCAAATTTATATTCTGCCTGCCACAAATGGCAGCTACCAATAAAATACACATTAAAAACAAGATCTTAATTAAAACATGGCATAAAACAAATAAAAAACAACAATAAAAGAAATAAATAGCACCCAGCCAATTGAAAACCTCCTAAACTGACTAGAATATATGTCAAAGGCTTGCCCAAGTAAAAATACATTATTCATTCATTCATTCATTCATTCATTTAAGGCTTGCCTGAGTAAGGCTTGCATATATAACTTTTGTATGCCGTCCGTTATGCATGGCATCTCAGGACGGCTTACAATCATTAATACAATCACAATAAAACAATTAATAACAATTAACCAAAAATACAAATTAAATGAAAGCAACTGTTAAACATTAAAATTTAAATTAGTTTTTAAAATTACAGTTAAATAAAAAGGTTTTAACCTGGCGCTGAAAAGAATATAAACTCGGTGCCAGGCGCACCTCTCCAGGGAGCACATTCCATAAAGAGGAAAAAAGGGAGGAGACCAAGTTAACCTTCCTTGACAATGAGCTCAGGGCTTGGAAGTGGCCACTGAGAAGACCCTCTGACGGCAGCAATACTAAAAGAAGGGCATCCTTCAAAGATCTTAAAAGCTGGGCACAGTTCATATTTGAGAAAGGCAGGTTGCTTACCTGTAACTGTCATTCTTCGAGTGGCCATCTGTGCATTCACACATTTGGGTGCTGCACCTGTGCAGTGCCTAAGGCCGGAAAGATTGCAAAGCTTAACGGTTTTTGGCGGGAAAACTCCACTCCCCTCCCACTTAACAATATAAATGGAGCGGAGTGCCCACCATTTTCCCAGTCTACTGAAGACTGGATGTTGGCCTCCTTGCAGGAGCAAGAGATGCTGCAAAAATTCGTATAGGACCATGAATACCAAGAAACATGGTACCGAAAAAAGAACCCATTCACCGACACTGAGTGGGGCCGGCGGGTGGATTATGTAAATACATACACAACCTGCCTTTTTTCGTCGTGGCCCCTGTGCATCACACATATGCGTGATTAGCAAGCTTACCAGACCTGGAGGCGGGTGGTGTTGTCACTGAGTGACAGCGGAAAGGACTGCCCGATGACAGGAACAGTCACGTCTGGCATGGACATCAAGACGGTAATGCTTGGCAAAGGTGCAAGGAGTAGTCCATGTTGCAGCTTTGCAGATGTCTTGAATTGGAATCCCAGCAGCAAAGGCAGAGGAGGCTGCTACTGCTCTTGTAGAATGCCCTCTGGGCATAACAGGTAAATCAATCTTGGCAAGTTGGTACACCAGCTCGATTGTCTGTACCACCCATTTCAAAAGCCTCTGTGAGCTCAAAGAGGAACCTTTGTCATGGTCCGAATATTTTACAAAGAGGCAGTTAGACTTACGGAGGGATTCCGTACGCGATCTGTAAAAGGCAAGGCAATGACGAACATCAAGGGAATGCAAGGACTGTTTGATCGGAGTAGAGGGTGATGGAAAAAAGGCAGCTAATACAATGTCCTGATTGATATGGAATAGTGTAACGACTTTAGGCAAGAACGTCGAATCGGTGCGGAGAACCATTTTTCTTTATGAAAGTTCAGATAGGGAGGGTCTACCCTAAGTGCGTGAAGTTCACTAGCCCTTCTGGCCGAAGTGACAGCCACGAGGAAGGCAGTCTTCCAAGACAGGAGACGTAAATCGGTAGTTGCCAGGAGTTTGAAGGGGGCTCTGATGAGTGCTTGAAGGACAACTGAAAGGCTCCAGGTGGGCATGACAGGATGAACTGGCGGATGGAGGTTCTGTAATTCTTTGAGGAACCTACGAATGATGGTTTGGGAAAATACTGAGGAGCCTTGCACCTGACCACAATAGTGGGAAATAGCTGCTGTGTAAACCTTGATGGAGGAAGGTTTTAGTATCGATGGATGTAGTGACAGAAGAAACTGGAGGATGTTCTCAACAGAGGCTGAAGAAGTGGTAAACAAATTGGATTCTGCAAAGGAGGAGAATCGATTCCATTTCGCTGCATAAGATCGTTGCGTTGTCGGTCTTAGAGCAGATTGAAGAATATGCTGGATGTCAGGATGGAGAGTGCTCGGATCTGATGTAGGGTCTATCGAACCTGAGGAAACAGTTGATGTATCGGGACCATGGTTGGTAAATATAGCAGATCTTGGTTCTGTCGGAACCGGATCGATGTTATGGTTCATCGAATGAGCCAAGCCATAAGGCCTAGTGAGGTAAGGTCTGGGTAGCGAACAGCTCTGTCCTGCTGGGTTATCAAATGTGGTACAAGCGGCAGCCAGAGAAAAGTGTTACCAGATAACTAGAAGAGAGTGGAGAACCATGGCTGACGGGGCCACCAAGGTGTGTTCAGAATTCTTGTAGCGCTGTCATGGACAAACTTGGAAACAACTTTTGTTATAAGTGGGATTGGGGGAAAAGTGTAGAAAAGTGTGTTGGACCAAGGGATCATCAGGGCATCTCCTGTTGAACCCAGACCGATGCCAGCATGAGAGCAGTACATGTTGCATACCCTGTTCTTGTGAGTGGCGAACAGATCTATGTCCGGATAGCCCCATTTGAGGAAAAGGTGATGGCAAGCTGGACGATCTAGTTCCCATTCATGGGTCGTTGACATTTGTCTGCTCAAGATATCAGCCTCCTCATTGTTGGTACTGGCCAGGTGGCCTACAAGAAGAGTTATGTCCCTGGGGATGCACCAGTCCCACAGTTGCATTGCCAGACGGGCCAGGGAAGCAGATTTGTCCCGCCCTGCTTGTTTACATAAAATACAGTGACAATGTTGTCAGAAGCAACCTGTACAATGTGTCGCTGGACAGTGTCCTCAAAAGAGCAAAGGGCTTTGAAGACCGCCAGGAGTTCGAGGTAATTGATGTGCCTGGCAGATTCCTGTTGGTCCCAGATGCCCTGTGTTCAAAGTCTGGCGCACAAGGCTCCCCACCTGATCAGGGATGCGTCGGTATAGAGGGTCAGGGTTGGATGTGGCGGGCGGAATGGGACACCCATGGTCAAGTTGAGTGGAACAGTCCACCATGATAGAGTCCGGAGGACAGAAGTTGGAAGGTGAAGAGGTCGATGGGGCGAGTCTCGTTGTGGCTGAAACATTTTGTTGAAATATAATTGGAGTGGTCTCATCCGAAGTCTGGCATGGGGAACTGTGGCAACTGAAGCGGCCATGTGACGATCGAGAGAGCTGGAACAGTTCTGTCCATTTGGATTCGACAGATCCAGGAGCACAAATTATCTTGTTGGCTCGATGGAAGAAAAGCTCTCGCTAGAGTGGAACTGAGACGCACTCCAATGAAATCGATGACCTGTGAGGGAATAAGGCACAATTTCTCATGGTTAATGCACAGTCCTAAATTGTCCAGAAGGTCACAAGTTATTCTCAACGCTGAAAGAAGGCTTTCCCGGAACAAGAAAACAAGACCCAACAAGCCAACATGTCGATCTTACGACCTTCCTTGTCATGGGGTATAGTATGATCCCTTGACTCACGACCCTGGGATGATTCCACCACTATCGAATTCAGCCTTGGATGGCACAGGAGGAATGGGATATCCTGCTCCCAAACGCAATACATAGTCTCATACTGACGCGAGGTAGGTTGAGGCTGGTTTGAAAAATTCCATGGTTCGACCATCGCCTGTTGAAAGGTCGTGATCAGGGGTAGAATGATGGCAGCAGATTGTTCCCCATTAACAATGTCGTATAACTTGTCAGTGCGAGGATCGATGCGATGTTGAGCTTCAACCTCTAGCGATCTGGCAAGCCTTGCCATCAGTTTCTCGAAGGTCAGGTATGGTTCCTCCGGTGAGCTGGGACCTTGAGTGGAGATGACAGCATCGGGTGAAGTTGACACCTCGGAGTCATCTGAGTCCAAATCATAATG